TTTGTGGTGATTATTGGGAAGAGAGTGAACACATTTGCCAATCGCCGCAATCGTTGTTAAGTAAACTAATAGACTGAACGGTATTGTATTGAATGTCATTGCGAACCAAAACCATATTTAGACATTTATTCAAAAACTATTTATTTATTTATATTTAATACGAGTAAAAAACTTTTTAAACGTTATTATATCTAATGGTTTACATATTATATTTACATTTATTTACATAATTTTTATGCATAAAACACTTAAGACTAAAACTAATTGATGAAAATTATTGATAAACAAATTGGTGAATAAGTTTTATGTTCAAAGTTTTAGAAAAATTTATTGAAAACATTTAATATTTGTATAGTATTTATATCATATAAATTATATACTAGTATTGGTGGCAACAAATCGGCCGTCAAAATGAGACTCACTTTTATTTCACTAACAAATATGTGAAGAAATACTGTACATCTCATAGAAATATTAATTAATTTTAATTATTAATTAATAATTGAGGACTTAATACAGTCTTTTCTCTCCCATAAAAATTCAATAATAATAAGAGTTTAGTGATAAAAAAATTGCTTATAATTTATCGTCTAATTAACTTAATCTTAAAAAATATTTATCTTAAAAAATAATAGTTAATGGATTTAGTCATTTAATCGCATAATATAACCGTCATACGTATAACTGACCTAGGGTGCGTTATTTTGAAACAAAAGTTTGATGTGTGCCTGTATCCAATGAATAGGATTCTCAACAAATTAGGTATGAATTAGTTATTTGATAAGGTCCAACATGATCAATTTCTAATAATTTACATATGTATGCACGTTATATATAGTGCAAACTTTACTCTGAATAGAGTGCAGTACTAATTCATTAGTTGTTTATACAGAAGTGATTTTATAAATTATTATTTTTAGTTTTTCTTACAAAAAGTTATTTGTGTTAATTTGACGATTGAGGACAGCGTTCATTCAGTTAGGGTTTCGGCACTCAATTAGTTATACAAAATCGTTGCCATTATTTAATATAATTATATTTTTAAATTAGTTGAACCGCTGGTAAAGCAAAGCGAACAATGAGTCAATTCGGCCCCAATTGCCATAAGTTTGGCCAAAGGTATAGTCCATTCTCGTCGGCGTCACACAAAAGCAAATCAAATCTTCATCTCAAAGAACCCAAAAGTGGAAGAATCGCCAGAAATTACAAACACTGGTCAACAAATAATGAACACATGTCTGTCGAGAACCAATTGATAACAACGATGACCGACAATTCGACAGATAATGCGACCGACGATCTCAATACTATACCAGAGATGGTGGAGAAGAGTGTGACTCAGGAACCGATGTTTACGAAGATTGTGAACGCCTTCGAGAAGACTTTGGGAAAGTCTAATCTGATTGTCAATGAAATGGATATAAAAGTGCTTCATATGAATGACGGCGAAAGCGTTCGCCAGAAATACCGGACCTTTGAGGCAGATGTAGCCGACTTCTGCAAAGAGTTGGATCTGTTGGCACTTTTACCGCACGAGCAGATGGAAGACAACACGAAGAACTGGTTGGACGCCATGGCTTTGCGCAGCTGTTGGTGGTATGATATGACGGCTTGGAGTCCAAACTCGGACATGTCTGTGATCCGCGTCAGCGAGATCTACGGCTTGCGGGCCAACGGACACAAAGACCTGAAGAGGTTCTTAGAAGTGGCCGCAACTCTGGCCGAAATGCAACTAAACCTATACGAGATATCGCTGATTGTGACCTACTCTCTGGTGATGGGCGTCCACTCATTCATTGTCGACGAGAACGGGGAGCCGTCGGCCACGGCTGACCTCAGGGAAGAAGTACTCAGGCTTT